GCCTCCCAGGTGCTGGGATTAAGGGCGTGCACCACTACACCAGCTAAAATGTGGTATTTTTGACTGGTGACGGCCTACTATGCATTGGGTCCTGGACTTCCACACTGGAGGGGAAAAAAAAAAGAGGAAAACAAGTTTTTTTTTAATTTATAAAAATAATAATAATAAAATATTAAACCATAAAAACCTCTAAAATAACAGAATTTTCCCAAGTTTCATCCCTGAGAAAATTCCTCCCAGAGTCCTGGGGAAGACGCTACCTCAGGCGTGGGGTATCTGAGGGAAAGGAATCTACATACATTACACTCTTTTGTCCATTTACTTTATTCCTTTATGACTGTAGCGAGCACATACCCCAGTTACGAGGGAGGAATAATCACTCTTGATGCAGACTTGGTGTAACACTCATTTATCCACGCAGTAAGATTACAAGCACTATTCATCCCATCTTCCAAATGGAAGCAGGAGTACCTCTCCAGGTGTACAGGTCCGGACTCGCCACGTCTGTTCCTCTGGATCTTGGGTCAGCCTTCCTGTGGTCAGCCACGTCTGCACTGGGGACAGGATCTCACGTCTCTGGTGGAGGAGAGTCATCTCACGCGAGGGCCGGACGAGCTCTGTTGGTTGTGTCTGAGGCTTCATCTTTTATATTCTTTTCGGGCTAGGTTTCTAGTCTTATCCCTACTTCCACACATAGCTTATAGCTTATGACTACTCCGTTTGTGGTTTACTTACGTCATTCTGTTGCTTAACACTCCTGACCAGGGTTCACCCTAGGTCTTACATGACAAAACTCTTCTTCAGTTCCATCCTGAGTCTCAGTTCCTCTCTGTCCCTACTTTTTCTGTCTCCTCATAGCCCTGGTCATAACTAAGCCCTTATGCTTTTGGTCTCATCTTCATCCTTTGTTCCTTCGTCCTCCATCTGTTCTTCCTGGCTCCTTACCCCTGGCCCTGATAAACTCTACAAGAGATCTACTTTACCCTCTCCAGAATCTCTGTCTTCCTCTCTTTTCTCTGGCCACACGGTTCTGTGTCTGCAGCTGGAATTCCACTCCAGTCCTTACTGCACCTGCTTATGCAAAAGCCTCCTTCGTTCTCAGTCAATAGCTCTGGGTGCCATTAGGCCTGAAGGCAAGGGATGGTCTGAGCTTCATTTGCACAAGAAGCAAAGCTATGCATCTGCAGCCTGCTTGTCTCCTAGGCACAGTGGGGGAGTCAGTTACCTAGAGCTTCAGCAGGTCTGAGAAGCTGAACCGTTTGCCAAATGATCTAGTAGTATATGGACCCACAAGAAATTCATAGCAAGGCACAGCTCAATATTAAAGCTGTATAACACCAAATATTACGTGATAAATGGCTTCCTACTTGAGAGACCCTTGGTCGGTCAAAGTATAGCTTTAATACACAGCTGAATCTCTATAAGATAGTCTTGCAGCCTGCAAGACTAAATAAAGATAAACAACGATGGGCCAAACCTGGAGGTCAACAGAAGTCACTCAGGGTTCCCTGAGAAAGTGCAGGATCCTCCCTAGGTCTTTACAGAGTCCCTCAGCCATGGTGAACGAGGCATGCATTTGACAGGCATTTACAGATTCTGTATTAGCACAGTGGTTTATTCAAATTGGCCAAGAGATCTTTTCACCAAGAGCTGAAAAGGTGCGTGGGAAGAGGAAGAAATGTTTGAGAGGCGGCAGCAAAGAACCCACGCAACTCTAGGGGTCTGAGCTGTGTGAGTGAAGGGTTAAGAAGGCTGAACTGATAAGGTCTGTGGTGGAAGTACAAGGGTCGGGAGCAGGAGGCGGAAACCTCAGATCAATTTACCTAACAGAAATTACTCGATGGGAGGCAAATAAAATGACACTCCCTGCAGTGTGTGCCCACCAGCTGCTGCCGGCCCATCCCTGTGTGTTCATGGGGGACCAGAGCTTGCTCTTGCGGTTTGAGTCTTACAACAGTAAAATTTCAGTGTGTTCAAAACCAAGCTATAGCTCACGAAACCGTTGTCGTTGCTTCTGGTTTTCTGGCAATGCTGGGGATCCGGTATGGGTCCTTGCACACAGACTAGGCAACTGTCTACTACTGAGCTGCATCTCCAGCTGTGGTACACTTTTCCAGACAACCTATCTGGGGCTGGGCTTGGAGCTCAGTGGTAGAGACCTTGTCTTTCAGGTGTGGGACACCTGGCTTTGATGGCTAGTAGATCACTAGGAAAAAAACAACAACATGCAAACATCTGTGTCTTGTTTTTACTCAAGAAATGTAATCTGTCAAATAAACCAGTTTTTGGAACTAAGTATCTTTCATGGTTTTCTATAATCATTTGCACAAGCATTTGTGTGTATGTGGCATATACCTGTATACATGCACATGTGTGAAGACAGTTTGTGGACATCACATGGCTTCCTCTATTGCTCTCTACTCTTTAAATTTGATTTTTAAAGCCGGGCGGTGGTGGCGCACGCCTTTAATCCCAGCACGCGGGAGGCAGAGCCAGGCGGATCTCTGTGAGTTCGAGGCCAGCCTGGGCTACCAAGTGAGTCCCAGGAAAGGCGCAAAGCTACACAGAGAAACCCTGTCTCGAAAAACCAAAAAAAAAAAAAAAAAAAAAAATTTGATTTTTAAAAATTTTTTGATTATTTTTATATTTTAAGTGTGTGAATTTTGCCTGCAAGTATGTGCACTGTGTGTGTGTGTCATGCCTGGTGCCTGTGGAGGTCAAAAAAGGGTCTCAGGAATCCCAGCTCTGAGAGGGGCAAGTGGATTCAAAGTCTCATTCCTAGCCTAGAAGCTATTTGGGATTGATACCTGCTGGGAAGGGAAAATCCTTTTCTCCAGAGGAGTGTCACTGGGTATATCAACCACATTCAAAGATTAAAGGAGTACACCACCCCCACCCACCTTGATTGAAATTTTAAAATAGAGTTGGGAAATAGAAAAAAAAAGGGTGTCAGATCCCCTGGACTGGAGTTCTAGATGGTTGTGAGCCACTGTGGTGGTCTGAATGAGAATGGCCCCCATAGGTGCAGATGTTTGGATGCTTGGTCCATAGTTGGTGGAAGTGTTTGTTTGGTTGGTTGGTTTTTGGTTTTTCGAGACAGGGTTTCTCTGTGTAGCTTTGCGCCTTTCCTGGAACTCGCTCTGTTGCCCAGGCTGGCTTCGAACTCACAAAGATCTGCCTGCCTCTGCCTCCCGAGTGCTGGGATTAAAGGCTGCGCCACCACCGTCCAGCCGGCAAGTGGAAGTGTTTGATAAAGATGAGGAGGTGTGGCCTTGTTGGAGGAGGCGTGGCCTTGTTGGAGGAGGCGTGTCACTGGGGGTGGGCTTTCAGGTTTCGAAAGCCTAGGCCATTCCAGTTAGCTCTCTCTGCCTCTCACGTTTGGATCAGGTTGTAATCTCTTAGCTCCATCTACAGTGCCATGCCTTCCTGCCAGCCTGCCTGCCTTCCGACATGCTTCCCACTATGAAGGTCATGGACTCACCCTCTGAAACTGCAAGCAAGCCTCAAATTCAGTGTTTTCTTTTATAAGTTGACTTGGTCATAGTGTTTTCTTCGCTATGTAAAGAAACTAAGTAGTAGTAAAGTAACTAAGACAACCACCCCGTGGAACCAAATCCTGGTCTTCTGCAAGAGCAGCAAATAAATGTTCATAATCACTGAGCCAACCCTCTAGTGACTTTTTTTTTTGGTTTTTCGAGACAGGGTTTCTCTGTAGCTTTGTGCCTGTCCTGGATCTTGCTTTGTAGACCAGGCTGGCCTCGAACTCACAGGAACTCACAGAGATCCACCTGCCTCTGCCTCCCGAGTGCTGGGATTAAAGGCATACGCCACCACTGCCCGGCGACTTATTTTTATTTTATTTTACTTTATTTTATTTGTGAAGCAGGTTCTCACTATCCCTGCTGGCCTGGAACTTGCTCTGTAGACCAGACTATCCTCAAGCTCATAGACATCTGCCTGCCTTTGTCTCCTGAGTGCTGGAATCAGGGGCATGTACCATACCACCATGCCTGCCTCTTTTCAATCTTTGTGTGTATGGTAGGAACACGGGGCATACTATAGTACACTTGGGGAGGTCAGAAAACGTTGTTGGGTGTTCACCCTCGCCTTCCACCTTGAGACAGAGTCTCTTGTTCTGCGCTCGGACGCCAGGCTACCTGGCTTTGAGGCTTCTACTCTGCTCACCTCCAAACTCTGCTAAGAGCACTGAGATTTTGGACACGTGCTACCATATCCGAGGTTTTATCTTAATATCACTCCGAAGCTCACCCAACCTCCACCTTAGTTTGTGAGCAAAGGTCTCTCACTGAACCTAGAACTCAGCAACCCAGTTAGACTGGCTGGCAAGCGCTAGGGAGCCTCCTGTCTCAACCATCCTTGTTCTAGGATTATAGGTCTGTGCGGACACACCTGAGTGTTTACATGGATGCTGACACACATGAGTGTTTACATGCATGTTGACACACCCGAGTGTTTACATGCATGCTAGGGATCCAAGCTCAGATCTTCCTGTTTGCATGCCAAGATTTACCATCTCCCCAGCCTCCCACACAAGTTGTGCATAGTGTCATTTTGAAAATTGACCTAAATGGTGATTTACTTTTTTTTCATCCCAAACTCCAGCACAGAAATGGAGTCCCATTGACGGCTGCTGTGGGTAGGATGCGCCCTCCGTGGAGACTGATGAAACCCTGGTTTCTGCCCCACTGAGCCTCATACAGCAGTTTTAGGCAGGCGGGACACTCAGATCCATGTCACCAACCAGCAGGTGAGAGTTTCCACAGTGATCCATTATGGCACTCCACACTTCCCAAGGGCAGTCATGTACAACGGCTAGACTTGAGATCAGCAAAGACGTAGTCTTTGTGAAGAAGAAGAACTTAAAAAAAATTTGCCAGGCGGTGGTGGCGCACGCCTTTAATCCCAGCACTCAGGAGGCAGAGCCAGGCGGATCTCTGTGAGTTCGAGGCCAGCCTGGGCTACCAAGTGAGTTCCAGGAAAGGCGCAAAGCTACACAGAGAAACCGTGTCTCAAAAAACCGGAAAAAAAAAAAAAAAGAGAGAAAAGAAAAGAGAAGAAAAGAAATTTTACAGGCACCTTGGAGAGCAGAAGACTGTAACTGGATGAGATGTCAGGAAGATGCTTGAGCTGGACATGGTCACTGTGGTGGTTTCGATGAGAAGGCCCCCGGAGGCTTATAGATTTGGACCCTGCTGCTGGCACAGGTGCAGTGAGTCTCCAGACCCTTTGTTCTTGTTACATCTGCAGTCAGAGGCCTGAGTGATTGGCTTATATCCAGACCTTCACCCTTGTTCTAGGGCCTGGGCACTTGAGAGAGCTAGGGCCTTGGTTTTACCACCCCCTACCCTGGGGAAATAACTGTTTCTCTACAGTTCATATGAACACTCTGAAATAATTTGTGTGTGTGCATATACGTGTGTGGTGTATGCATGTGTGGCAGTTGTGTGTGTGTGCGTGCGTGCGTGTGCATGTGTGTGTGCCTCCACCTCCTGGCTGCTGGATTGCAGGCGTTTTTGCAGTGCTGGGGATGTTGCCCTGGACTTTGTGCATGCTCAGCGAATATTCTACCAATTGCCAACTGAGCTAACTCTTGATCCCCAGTTATGATTCAAAGACACTGTGTGTGTCTGTGTACACACATGTGCAAGGAGGTGGGAGGTCAGTGTCAGGTGGCCTCTTCAATAACACCACCATATTTTTTTTTTTTTTTTTGAGACAGGGTTTCTCTGTGTAGCTTTGTGCCTTTCCTGGAACTCACTCTGTAGCCCAGGCTGGCCTCGAACTCACAGA